AATTGGTACAGTGTCCTCATTTATGACATTAAAATAAATTCCAGATAATTTTTTAATTAAAAAATAAAACACCAGAAATAACCCAACATGATTTAATCTGTTCAGATTTTCAAGCGAGAAGAACTTTCTAAAAAGCTTTTGGAATAAAGACCAACAACAGCAGAGGCCTAGCAACTCAGCAAGGCCAGAAACGCCCAGTGTAAAACAAAACTAACCCTCGCCCAACCCTCTCTCCCGGCCCTGTATTGCTTTCTGATACGTTCTACACTTTGTTCTTTCCTTTAAATTCCAGTTTCTTGGAGAAGTGCCTGCGCTGATGACTCCTCCAGGGCTCAGAGCCCTGCAGCCCCACGGCCCTCACCGCAGCACTGAGACAGGAGTTACACTGATGGTGGTTGTGTGTTTCAAACCAGTCGGCATTTTCAGCTCCTGTTTATTTGATTACCAGGTAGCTTTTCCTGTGGACAAATATTTTCCTCTCAATGGAATGATTTTCCCCCTTAATATTGGTTTTACTTAAATAAATTTTAAAAGCCCAGGCAGAAAACAGTGTGTGCACATATGCACACACACAGAAACACACAGATCTGTTTTTTAAAGGCTACCTAAGTGTAGTCCTCCTCCTACTTTTCCCCTGGCTTGGCAATTAAAGGTGGGTTTAGCCCTTGCTTTTTTGCCCCACCTACCCCTCTTTCTCACTATGCTCCTTTTAGTCAGTGTTCAAATCCCTCTTAAGCCAGGTTACAGCCTTCTCTGTGTTGCCTCAACTAGTTTCTCCCAACTGCTCTGCTATTCTTCTTTCTCTTGGTGGATTTCTCTTCTCCCACTTGCCATGTACATGGCCCTTTTCCCCAGGGCCTCGTCTTCAATCCTCCACTTGGCAGGACTGAATCGCCCCCACGGCCTCACCCACAGCTCCTCTGAGCTCCTGACTGGTGAATACAGCTTAACAATGGACATCACCCCTCAGATGTCCCATAGACACTTCGCAATCAAAATGCCACAAACAGAACCATCTCCTCGAAACCAGCTCCTCCCCTTACACTCACCCTGCAGATCTGCTCCCCGGATGGGTCACTGGAAATCACCTCAGCAGCTCTGTGGCCAGCCGCCCCGGCCCTGCAGTCCCCTCTGCAGCAGTCACCAATTCTGCCGCCCATGTCTCTCTCCCTCTGCCCATGGCCTCTCTGCAGGCATGTGCCACTTGTTGCCTGGGTTACCTGGGGTGGTCCCCGAAATATCCTTTCCCCCCAAAATATGGGCCTCCCCCCAAAATAGTATCTTCCATTCTGCTGCCAGTATAACCAGATATTCTTCAACATAATCATTATGAAATTCTCTTGCTTACATATATTCCAATATATCCCTGTTTCTTTAAGGATACATTCAAGTCTAAGCACACAAGACCCATCGTGACAGAGGCCTTGTGCACCAGATACTCCGACCTTGGATACTTTGTTCTAACCCTACTTGTTGTTCTTCAGTCTGGCCAAGCCGCTTCATGCCGTGTACTCTTATAT